CGATTGTTCCTACTGCTACAGATACGTTTTCATCATCAGTCCTCACCACTCTCGGCCAACCACCACCATTCATGAGCTTCCCTGTTTTTTCCAGCGATAACCCACAACTCTGGAAGACGTTGTGCGAGAAGTACTTCCAGATGTTTCCTGTCCATGACTCTTACCGTGTACCTATGGCTATCCTCAATTTTTCTGGTCCGGTGAGCATATGGCTCCAATCAGTCTAGAAGAAGCTCATCGGGTTGGATTGGGATTCGTTCACATCTCTGCTCTGTACACGTTTCCGCCAGGACAAGAACCAAATGCTCATCCGCCAATTTTATGCCATCAAACAGACCACCTCCGTCACTGATTACATAGAGCATTTCGAATCCCTGATGAACCACCTGATATCATATTCAGAACTAACTCATCCATATTTCTTTTTGACTCGTTTTGTCGAGGGTCTGCGACCAGACATTCGAGCGGTGGTGCTCGTGCAACGCCCATCGGACCTGAATATAGCATGTTCGCTTGCCCTACTTCAGGAGGAAGTGGCCGACGGCAAACTCCCAATCGACCGCACCTTCACCAACTGCGGCCAGAGCAGCCACCAGCGTGCGACCATGCTCTCATTCTTCGGTCGACCTTCTACACCAACAGTGGTCTCCGAGGATCGACGCGGCACGGATGCCGCGCGCGCCAACGCCGAGAACAGCAAGGTCGCAGCGCTCCGACAGTTTTGCCGCGCGAAGGGCCTTTGTTTCAAGTGCGGCGAACGGTGGGGCAAGGATCACGTGTGCCCGCCCACTGTGCAAATGCACGTCGTCGACGAGCTCCTTGCCATGTTCGCTCAAAATGACCTTGCCGTCGAGTCACCTCCACCGTCGCCAACATCTGAAGAAGAGAACCTGTGCACACTCTCGCGTCAGGCAAAGGATGGATCGTCAGACCCCGGGGTTCTTCAATTACAGGCATGGCTCCAAGGGCACGAGATCCTGCTGCTCATCGACTCTGGCAGCTCTACATCCTTCGTCGACAGTTCTCTGGCCACCAAGCTTGGAGTAATGCCATTGTCGCGCCCATGCAAGGTGCGCGCCGCTGGGTGCGCCACCATACCCTGCAACAACTTCATTCCAGCCTGTTCATGGATAACGCAAGGGCACGAGTTCACTACGGATTTGAAAATCCTGAAGCTGGGCTCTTACGATGCCATCCTGGGATGGATTGGCTGCGCCAACATAGCCCCATGAGCATCGACTGGGTTGCGCAACAATTAAATGTCACCACCCCAGTAGGATGCCTCCATTTGTCTGCAATCTCCTCGGATCAAACACAATGCTCAGTTATCTCAGCTCCAGTGTTGCTCAAGGCTTGTAAGCAGGGATCAGTTGCCCACATTATACACCTCAATTCCCTCGATGGTGACACTGAGCAAGACGCACAGATACCCGTGGAAATTCTTCACCTGCTGGAGCAGTACACTGATGTGTTCGAGGACCCGTGTGGCCTCCCACCGCGTCGTGAATGCGACCACCGCATACCCCTGATGGTAGGCGCGCAACCTGTCACATCCAGGCCTTATCAGTACAAGCCAGAACTGAAGACAGAAATCGAGCGGCAGGTTCAGGAACTCCTCGATGCAGGGATAATTCAGAAAAGTTCGAGTCCATTGTCATCCCCAGCTCTGTTGGTCAAGAAGAAAGACGTGACTTGGCGTTTGTGTGCCGACTATCGTCGTCTCAACTCCATTACCGTAGTGGGAAAGTTCCCTATACCAATTATTGATGAACTACTTGATGAGCTCGCCGGTGCCAAATGGTTTTCGAAGCTCGATCTTCGGGAGGGATTTCATTAGATCAGAATGGCTAAAGGGGAGGAGTACAAGACGACATTCCAGACTCATTCAGGCCACTAGGAATTCCGTGTCATGCCTTTTGGAGTCGCTAGTGGCCCTACAACTTTCAATGGTGCCCTGACCACAACACTCAAGCCGGCGAACCGTGTCTGTGTCATTTCATTCTTCGACGACATCCTCGTCTTCAGCAAGACCTTCTCTGACCATCTCCAGCATCTCACCCTTGTGCTGCAACTACTATGCAAAGATCACTGGCAAGTGAAGCAATTGAAGTGCTCTTTCGCCCAGCGCCAGATATCCTACCTCAGGCACGCCATCAACGAGCAAGGTGTTTCTACTGACCCAACCAAAATCCAAACAATTCAGAACTGGCCGGTCCACGAGTGTGCCAAAGAGGTCCGCAGCTTCCTCGGACTAGCGGGTTATTACCGCAAGTTCATAAAGCACTTCGGCATCATTGCTCGTCCTCTCTTCACCTTACTGAAGAAAAACCAGCTCTTCGTCTGGACAAGTGACACACAGCAAGCCTTCGACACCCTCAAGGAAAAACTGATATCGGTGCCTGTTCTGCAACTGCCAGACTTCAGCAAGCAGTTCGTGATCGACACTGACGCATGTGCCTACGGGGTAGGGGCTGTACTCCAACAGGAAGGCCACCTGATTGCTTACTTAAGCAAAGCACTTGGCCCCAAGAACAGAGGTATGTCCACATACGAGAAGGAGTGCATGGTGATTCTCATGGCTGTCGATCAGTGGCGCCCTTACTTGCACACGGACGAGTTCATCATCCGTACTGATCAGCGTAGCCTGACCCACCTCGATGACCAGCACCTGTCGACACCCTGGCAACAAAAAGCATTCACCAAGTTGCTGGGCATGAGATACAAGATCTGTTACAGAACAGGAGCTTCCAACACCGCTGTCGACGCACTCTCTTGACGCACTCCAGATGCATCGCTTGCAGCTATTTCAGTTTCCACTCCCGTCTGGCTAGCTGGCATCCAAGCCAGTTACTCATCCAATCCTCAAGCTCAGAAGATCATACAAGACCTCGAGCGCCGGCCAGACCCCAAGCAGTGCTTCACCATGCGTGATGGTTTGATCTATTTCCGCAATAGACTTTGGCTGGGTGGCTCCCCATCTATGCAGTAGCTTGTTCTCCGTGCCTTCCATGACAGCACAGTTGGTGGTCACTCCGGCGCACCGGCAACATACAAGCATCTACGTCACCTGTTCGCTTGGCCTAAAATGAAGGAGCAGACGCGCCAGTATGTTCAGTCGTGCTCTGTGCCAATAAGTGAAGCTGGAGCACGTCTGCTACCTTGGACTCCTCGAGCCCCTACCGGTCCCAGATGGCGCCTGGAAGGTAGTCACCATGGACTTCATCGACGGGCTGCCCACATCTGGCAAATTCAACTACATCCTCGTTGGTCGACAAGTTCACGCGCTACGCGCATTTTCTACCTCTGAGCCACCCCTTCACCGCTGCCAAAGTAGCTCACTCATACCTGGAGTATGTCTACAAGCTTCATGGGCTGCCTGCCGCCATTGTTTCCGACAGAGATCCGGTATTCACAGGCACCTTTTTGCGCGAGCTGTTCAAGACAATCGGGACTGAGCGGAACATGAGCACACCATACCATCCACAAACAGACGGGTAGACCGAGCGCATCAACCAGTGCCTGGAAATCTACCTTCGCTGCTTCATCCACGCTTGCCCACACAAGTGGCACCAGTACTTGGCCCTTGCAGAATTCTGGTATAACTCGAGCTATCATTCTGCCCTCGACACATCTCCTTTTGCAGCACTCTATGGCCATGAACCGCGGCATTGGGGGATTGAGGCCACGTCTGTCGTGGTTCTAAACCTGACAGTAGAATAGGGGGGGGTAGGTATGGAGAGGCAAGATCCTAGCTATGGAGTAGTTGTATGCGCGAGGGATTTACGAGTTCGGGCCCTTCTCGGAGGAAGTAACAGCCCTACGTCTCGGAGCCCGGAGGCGGTTGATTGGATTATATGAGTATGAGTTACAGAGGAGCGAACCCTTTACAAGGAGGGGGGTGGCTTATATAGAGTCTGCTAGACCCCTCCGGCCCTCAGTTATGTAGGGTTTAAAGTACATTAAGGCCGGGCGTTACTGGTAACGCCCTACATAAAGTGCTATCATGACCGTAAAGACTACTTAATAACAGACCGCTTGGGTGCGGAGCGACTCTAGATCTCCTAGTGGTCGAGTGAACGGCTTCATGGTCGAGTGTCTTCGAGTCCGTCGAGTGGAATCCTTCCAGGTCGACTGAAAGGCAGTTTCTTCTAAAGATGTCCTTGGGGAGGGTACCTTGGACAGGTCCATGACCCTACCCTAGGTACATGGCTTCATCAATAGCCCCCGAATGGATCGAGGTTTGAGTGAGGAAGGAGTTGAGAATTCTTCCGACCTATTTTTCGTGCTATGAGTGTGTCTTGTTCTGGATCAATGACTTTTAGTGATGACATCAACTTCTTTTTCAGTCGCCTTGATCCATTCTTTGTATCTGCCGAGTGATCTTTATGAACTTGGAGATTTGCGAGCGACGGATCAGAGGAAATCTGTGGTCTGACAAGTTGCTCTGCTGTTTGCGGATTTAGCGGGATCCGAATTTTGGGAAGCGCGCGAGGCGGAGGAGGCCGTTGTACTCCGACGGGATAAGGCAGGGACGCCTTGATCTTCGCGCCGCCTTTTTCGCTACGTATTGCGCACGCGACTGTTGCAGGATTTGACAGGATCGTCCGGGCCTACCAGTCAGCCGCTCAGAAGAGACTTCATATAAGGCGCCGGACGGGGTTTTTTTTTTGAACAGTGCGCCCTCATTTTCTCCTCCCTCTTCCTCAGATCCACCTGTTGCATTCTCCATCGTCCTAGTGCTGTTGCTCTGTGTCTGTTTCGCCGGCAACGATGGTGAAGGAGAAGATGGCGGCTTTGGAGTGGGCGAAGAAGGCGACGGCGAAGGCGAAGGGGAGGGCAACTAGTCGGGGTGGATCCTCATCGCGGGCCGGTCTGCCGCAAGGCTGGATCCAGGGAGACTGGATCCGCTCGACCATCCGCCAGAAGGACCTCGACGACCTGGCCAATGAAGGACTAATCCCTCATGGATCAGCGAGGCTTCTGGGGAAGGAGTGGCAGCCGCAGCCTCAGGAGGGTGAGTGTGTCCTCTTGGCTACTCACGTCGACCGCGGGTTTTCTCTACCGCCGAATCCTTTCTTTCGGGGATTTCTGAAATTCTTTGGGGCACAACTCCACCACTTCACACCCAACTCTATCGTCTATCTCGCTGCTTTTGTGTCCTTGTGAGAGAACTTCTTGGGTTGTCGGCCGCATTGGGGCCTTTTCAAACACATTTTCACCTGTCGCTCTCAGACGGTGAAAAAGGCTAGTCCGAGTGACGAGAAAACCCAGGTAATCCAGATGTGTGGGGGTCTTGGGGTTCAAATGAGGAGTAAAAGTGCTTTTCCAGCCATGATCCTTCCCGAGTCAGTCCGAGGATGGCAGTTGACTTGGTTCTACTGCCAAGACCAGCCGACGCCAGGGCAGTCGACTGGACTCCCTCCTTTCTCCATGGACCGAGTGAACAAGCCGTCCTCTCTGAAGGTGGTCCCGGAGGAGAAGGCTCAGGTTAAGGTGTTGGTAGAGCGTGTAGTCCAGCTCATCCGTGATGGGGTGACTCGCATAGATCTTCTGGAGGTTTTCCTTCGACGGTGCATTCAGCCACTTCAATATCGAGGCCACCCGATGTGGATGTACTCTGGTACCGAAGACACCACTCGGGTCCACCTGGAGGAGGTCGATGATGCCACACTGGAAAGGTGGATGACTGCCATCACAGGGAACAAAGATAATCCCTGTGGAGCCAGGAGGATCCCGCCACTTGGCCAGTCGTATGAACCAGACAAGGTCTAATCACTTGCCTCCGACCGCAATCCTGTTTCCTTCATTCCATTTTGCTACAATTCGGTCGACTGACTTTTGTCTTGTTTGTTGTCTTCCAGGTCACTACCGAGATGTATTCGATGCCCAACGGGGCGCAAGAACAAACCGAAGAGGAGGAAGGGAGCGGGGGTGAAAGTCAGGAGGAGTGGGAATCCGATGGCAAGGAGGGTGAAGAAGATGCCGGCTCTGATGAGGAAGAGGAGGAGGAAGTCGAGCCTCCTTGTACTGCAAGACGATCCAAGCTCGTCCATGACCCTGCAGTCGAGCGCGGCAAGGCGGTCGTGCCTGTTGGGAAGTCGACCAAACGTTCTCGGATGACCTCTCCGGCGCCGACTGAGAAAGCGCCGAAGCAACCCCGAGCGGCATCATCAAAACCGACGAAGGCCCTGCCAAAGATGAGGATGGTGATTCCCACTATTTCCGAGTAATGGCATAACTAGTGTTTTCTTGTTTAACATGGATACACTCTTGGTCGACTCGTTCGCTGACCGACTAATTTCCGAAATCGCAGTGCTGCTACTTCTGAGACCTCAACCAGACATGAAGATCAAGAAATGGAGGATGCTATCACTTCCAACCCTGGTATGATCTCTGTAGTTTCGCTTTTGGTCGATAGGATCTTCATTTTTAACTTTGAATCTTTTCTGTAGCTCCACCTAATATCATCATTGATCTCCCTGATGATGACGATGAGGAGCCATTGAGGCAGAGGAGGAACAGGAAGACGTCTGCTGGCAAGACTTCTCAGGTTGTATCAGCACCTGAGACACTGGTTCCGGAAGGGGGCAACGTCACTCGGACTACTGTGTCCTTTGCTGTGCCACTGACGAGTGCTCGCCCTTCGTCATCGAGTGCTGATCCACCTTCCCTTTTCTCCACCCACCATGTCCCAGAGGACCAAGCAGGCACTGCTAAAGAAGCTATACGCCAGGCGGGGGTCATGATGGAGCAGGTGAAGGCGATCCGAGACGCCAGCCAAGCGGCTTATGATGCAAGTTCAGCCCTTGAGAGCAATGTCCAGGTTAGTTGATCACCGCTTGTTCTGTTAGGATATGGTACCTGAAAATTTTTCTTTCTGAAGATCTTAGTATCTGTACACCCACTGGGTGTGTCGATTGAATATCTGGATTGGTGGGGGCACACTGAGTGCACCCACTGGTTGTAGTCCCCGAGACTATTGTGGACTGCTGGCAGTCGACTATAGTCTTTATACCTTGAACTTTTCCTCTTTATTTTCTCCACTTGATCTGGTCAAATGGAATCATGGAACCAGTGGGGGCACGCTGAGTGCACCCACTGGGTGTAGTCCCCGAGACCATGGTCGACTGCTGACTCGACTATGGTCTGAAACTATGGCTAACTGCTGGTAGTTAGCCTTTTTGTCTCTTTTGGTCGACTGATCGACCCGAGCCGATAGAACCAGTGGGGGCACGCTGAGTACACCCACTGGGTGTAGTCCCCGAGGCTACAGTTGAATATTTTGATTCAGCTATAGTCTTAGAAGTGCTACGATTTTTCTCTTAGTCATTCGGAAGTGACCTATCTTTGATGTCTGGCAATTGATCTTTCGCAGAAATCTTGCAAGCTTGTGGATCGTTATACTGAGTTGGAGAACAAGCATATCCAGCTCGAAATTGATCTGAAGCTTGTCCAGGAGAACTTCACGAAGGCGAAGGAGGAGGAAAAAGGTATGTTTGGTGAGAACCTTGACGACTGCCCTTATTTCTTGTCCATTCTTGAGTCTGATCTCACTGTCATTTTGCAGATAAACTGAAGGATGCTCTGAAGAAGAAGGACCTTGACCTCGCCGAGGCGCAGAAAGCGGCTTCGGACAAGACGAAGCTCGCAGAAGAAAAGCTGGCTTCAATCAGCAAACTTGAAGAGGAGAATACCAAGCTGAAAGCTGCTCTCGACACGGCCAACAAGGAGGTCAATCGACTAAAGAATGACAAGATAGCCCTGAGCGACAAGGCTAGCGAACTGGCGGGAAAGAAGAATGATCTAGAGGTTTATCTGGGAGGGCTCGCCAAGAAGTTATTCCTCATGCTTGAAGGTAATCTCTTGTATCCGACTGGCTTGTAATTATGGACTTACCACAAAACTGCTGGCTTATCTTTGGGTTGTGTCTACAGAGTTCTGCCAAAACTTTGAGGAAGAGACTGGTCGAGTGGAGACAAGCCTGGATCC